ACGCTCTCTACTTTCTAGAATTATCCTGTACTTTGGCGAGTGTTTTGGTTTTTACTAGATAGGGTAGGCTGGTATATATAAGAGTGGGAAAACGTGACGCGCCAGGGTAACGTAATGTGTGTGTAGATAGTGAGTAATTGAACTGCAGTCAGAAGTATTGTTGACATTCGTTGATTAGCGTTTGTTTTAGCGCGATTGTTGAAGTTAAGTGTATCGGTAAAGTTATATTCGGAAAGAATAAACCAGTTTTATTAAGAAAGAACTTGTGTCGCTTAAGTTTCGTCGGAACGAAGTTACGGAAAGTTAATTAACAAACGGAGACGTAACACTATCAAAGAAAATCAGGGTTGTTGCTAAAGTTTCTTGTTAATTCTAGCTGCAAATAATAGTGTTGCAAAGCATGTTTTTAGAGTACAAATATGTGCTATTATTCCAATTATTAATGCTATAAATCACAAAAGCACCATAGTACAAAACATCACAATTATTTTTAGAACAGGTCAGTTTAATATTTTTGATGTACTAGTAATATAGCATCTTATGAATTTTCTATTAAAGTATCACATTTCAAAGTTATGATAAAGGCAAACTGTTTTAAATGTTTTTCAGATTTGCAGTGTGGACCCCCTGCTATTATTCCAAATGGAGGCTATGAATTGGTCAATGGAACTCGTAATTATCTCAGTAGCGTTCAGTACTTCTGTGACGAAGGATATGTTTTTGTGGGACGTGCATTCTTGGTTTGTGATGTAGATGAACGCTGGAATGGCCCCCCTCCTCGCTGTGAACGTGAGTTTTCATTAAATCTGTTACTGAGATATGATTTCACCAAATAACTTAATCAAAATCATAAGTTTATTCATCGCACATTATTTATCTCACTTAGAGAAATGTATATACCATCACATCTAAACAACATTGTACACTTATTTCCCTATTTATTCCATACAAATATAACCAATATTTTAATATAGTCACATACAACACAATTCGTTACCAAATAACATTAAACTTTGTTTCAGTAAATGTAGCTCACTAATGAATAATACTACAGTACAAATTTTCTCAATTGATACTGGTTATTACCATAACACATTTTTTTTTTACATTTTAAGACAATGGTACAGTTCACTTCTTATCAACTTAAATACAGTTTCTTATACCTTTATAACATTGTGACACAGTCTACTAAATATATTGTCATGCAGATATTTCAGAGCTTAAAAACATTGCAGTTCTAGCCTTATGATCCACAATGTTATGTTTACTTCTTACATCAGTACCATCAACACATTTTCTTACTTTATATGTCCCCCTTTCTAATAGTTGCTGTTAGATATACACGACTGTTTCAGTTTTAGTTTAATGCCAGGGGTATAATTTAGATAGTTTATATAGTGTCTGTGTTTTATTTAGTTATTTTTAGAAGCCATATTTTGTAGTACGTTTGTTTATATAACTGTTTGTGAATCATACGTTGGGTAGTTCGATTGTTGTGGATTAGCATTTGCTTACAATAATGAGATTATTGCACAATGTTGTTAAAAACTTTCTGAGTTTGAATTTCTTGTTGGTTGATTTAAGTATTATTGCATCAGAATAACTAGTATTGCATGGAATGTTCTAGACTTCTGTTAGGGTATAAATATGCATCAAAAATTAATATTTAGTTCTAGTTCTAGACTGCGTGATTGTGAGTTTAGTGATAAAAAGTGTATAATGGCGATTTTTCAAGTGAAATAATTACAGACTGTATTGTAACAACAGAGTAGAGAAGAATGATTTGTCTTGTCAATTGTGTTCTAAAGTAACTGAACCAGCTGTGGACTTTGATGAAAAAGAGACAGTTATTTAAATCTCTGGATACAACTATGGTAACAAATGGTGTAATGAACAATTGTATATAAGTTTGATTTGTTTTTAATATATTATTTCAGAACAAGAAGAATGTGTTGCTGTTTGTTTATATTTGAAATTTATTGCCAAGGAGTCACAGACACCTACTGTAAAGAATCCAGCCTTACGAAACCTGACAGTGGCTGTTTTATTATAATTTATATCATGTTGTGGTGCTATATCCTTCTTATGGGTTCTTTTCTCTCAGTCATTTGTTTGCTTTGTTAACATACTTTATATGTTAACTACACTGTATTAACATATTGATTCTACAAAGGTCTGTAGTTGCCTTTCTGTATTTGCCTTTAATCAAACATTTGGGCTCTGATTTTCCCATTTCTACTCACACCTTATCACTTGTTCCTACAAGGTTTCAGACTTTTCTCTTAGGATCATTTCCAACATGAGATGGCAGGCTAGTCCCATTTAAGCAGATACAATATGATTAGAATAGAAACATTGAAAAAATTTCTTTGTAATAATGACAATTATTTGTCACAGAAATGATAAAGAATTGTAATAATAAAATTAATTTAAACTATTTAACAAATATATAATTCTAAGAAAATAAAAATTGTTTTTTTTATTAGATACATAAAGAAAACTTGCTGTTGATAATCATACTACTTTGATGGAGGTTTTGTTTTTACTTTTGTGTGTGTGTGTGTGTGTTTGTCACCAAAATTTCTCAAAAATGGCTGAATGGATAAAAGTTGGATATACTTATGGTCTATGACCCAAATTAGAAGTGATTAGTTTTTGAAGGGTCAAGGTGACGATAATTTAAAAAAATCCTTATCTGTTAACGTGGGGACCAAATGTTCACACTATTTTTGCTCTATAGTTCAGTTGAAAATGATTGGGCTTTAATGAAACCTGGTGGACACATGTAGAATATTATTTCTCATTGTCCTGCCAAAATCTTCCATGTCCTTTGATAACAACGGACATATGGACACATTTTCGTATTTTTTGAGGGCCGATTATAACTCTACTGAGTGCCTCTCTAGTTTGTACTTTTAATTGTAAACTTGCATATTATTATCATACTTAATAATGTAGAAAATATAACTGTATTATAAATTTTATGTGAATTTTAAATTAGTTTACTGGTTGATAAGAGTCTGCTAAGACACAGTTATTAAAACATTGATGCCACATTTTCAAAAACTTGTGTACAAAGATATGCTTTCCATCCCAGCTGTTATATGCAGTAGACCTCCAGGTATTGACCATGGAATCTATAGAATGACAGCCAGAACAACCACATTTGGCACCATTGTGGAGTACATTTGTAACCCTGGCTACAGACTCATTGGCCAACCTCAGCTAAAATGTGATTCAAGTGGTTACTGGGATGGAAAAGTTCCTGTCTGTAGAAGTAAGTAATTGAACAGAACTGTGTTAGCAGAACACTGTTTGAACTTGACAATATTTAGAATAGTCACTGAAGCAGTTTTACAAATTATAAACCAGTGTTGATTCAAAAAAAATAAAAGAAGTAGTAAAATTTAATATATAATATAGAAAACTCCTACAATTTGAAAATCCTTCTCTTTGTAGAAATATTCAGCAGACTTAAAAACATTAAAGATACTAGCACAAATGACTTGATTTGTTATGAAATATCATAAGCTTTGAATAAAATAAATCAGATTCAAAATAGTCCCCCGGTGGGACAGCGGTAACTCTTCATATTTACAATGCTAAATTCAGGGGTTTGATTCCCCTCTGTGAACTGAGCAGATAGCCTGATGTGGCTTTGCCATAAGAAAATGCACACACACACACACAGCTTTAAAATAAGTTTAATTTTGCATTCTACAAGCATTTTAGTATTATCTTTAATATTTTTATTTGCTTAACTTTCATTATAAAATATACAAGGACTTTTGGCAAATAACATGACAAGTTGTATATGTGTAGTTTTTAAAACAAAATTGAAGAATTTGTTCAAGCACAGTATACTTCAGATATTCTATAAGTTTTATCAAAAACATTGCTTCACATCCACATAGATGATACAATATAAATTTTGCCCTTGACATTATCCTAAGGTCATGTAAGGCATAGCAAGAGGTTTATTGCAAACACTGTTCCAAAAACATGTAAATTACATAGTAGAAACTTCATATTGGGCACTATCTGAAAATTAGTAGTTAGTAAGACTTTCGATCATAATGGATATTGCTTCAAAAATAGTGGAGATATGGGTGCATTATAAGAGTAACATCTCACTATTTGATTAGAGTTTACCCAAGAGTTGATGTTGGATGCTGTTGACTAGTTGCCTTCCCTCTAGTGTGTCAGGATAAAATTAGAGATGACTATAATATAGGTAGCTGTTTTGCATGGTTATTTAAAATAAACAAACAAAAGCTTTCAAAACCTATAAGACATAGCATCAGCATCATCCTGACCACTTTTTAAAAATCACAGGATCTAACATATAGGATACATTATGAATTTTACCTTGTTTTTTTTTTCTGAAATATTTTGCAAGATATATTATAAACATCATCCTAAATATTATTCGATAACAGGGATAAAACATAGTACACAAATTTTTTATTACACTGTTTCAAAATCACATGTACAGTATACATTTTATGGTACCAGGTTTTCCAAAATCAGTGTATAAGATGCATACTTAATTTTTATGTTTACAGATGCGCAAATTACATATAACTGTGTTGCTGTATGATATTTCATGTAAAATGTTTATAAAACATTTGTTAATTTCAATTTGGCTTAGACATTTTATAGTAGATAAATTTTGAACATTAGTATTTTCATGCTGAAAAAACTACAATCTTAAATCATATTTGAATGTGTGTTTGTGTTTATACATAATTATGTACAAGTTTTAGTCTTATGCATGCATAGATGGTTAATGCATTATAGTCCTGAACTCTAAAAAGTGTTTGTAGGATAGACTCTTTGAATGTTCCTTTTTGATAATTTTCATGATACCTGTATTATGTAAATTACCAAAAACAGCTTATTAACTTTGTAGTTTGTTTTGATACTTTAAAAGTATTATCAAGAATTTAATGCTTTGTTAATCAAAATTAACATGTTTTCATATCAAATTCTGCTCTTTCAGAAGAAACACAAGTTTTCTTACCATTGGCATCAAAAGCAAGCATAGAGCATCCAACTACATTAAGGAAAACAAGACCAATGGATCCAGAAAATGCTGCTATTCCACACAGTAAACAACCTCATCTTCTACCAAGATCTTCTCTTACAAATAGGTTTAAATCTGACTCAGTATACACTAGACAAGAAGGCCCTAATGGACACTCCATAACCATTTCTACCACACCTTCCTCTTTCTTCATAAACCAAATGATATCATTTCAACGTAACTTAAACTCACAAGACCCAAACAAATATGCTACATACACATCAAGTGAACCATCCAGTTCAAGTCTTCCAATTGTGAACTTTAGCTCCAGTGAAGATGCTATGCAGGTTATATCAAATGTTCGAACAGAATCACCATTCGATACTGCTGACAATGTTGAAAATCAACATGGGAAGAAACAGAAAGAATCTCTTGCTATGTCTGCAAGGCTTAATATGGGTAATTCCATTGTATGTTTATTAAATATGTAGGTCAATCAATTGTTGTCAGATGTTATTTTATAATTTTGAGAGCTATGATGATAAAGATGTGCATTAAAGCTCTTATATAAGGAAGACCAAAACTTTTACAATGTTTTAAATGTTCTTAAATAACCAATTTAAAGCTGATTCATGATATTAAAAGGTTATGTTATGAATTAGAAACCTTAAAGTATTATTTTAATATCCTGTGGAGCATATATTTGTGCTGTGCATCAATCACTTGCTGCTATAAGGTATTCAGTATTTTAACTAAAAATATATATATATCAGACAATTTCATCTTTACTCCCTAACTTTTTTACTATTGCAAGAGTTATGATAATTTGTTTTACTTGTAGTAATATTAGTAATAATATTTCATGAATAATAGAAATTTTAGTTTGTCAAAAATGTCTGTGTACTTATTACTTGTGACTTTAGAATTTTCAGGAAAAAAAAGGCCCTGATCTATACTCATTAACTTTGGGGTGGAATTGTTTTAATTTGGCTAACCATTAACGCTCTTTGGTTGAAACTATACTTAATATAACTGTATTAAAATAATAATAAAAAATTTAGGCTAAAAGAACAGGTAACTTACAAAAGTTTTAAAGTTATATTTTTCTTTGTGAAATAGAAGAGCAGTAATTACTCCTGGCTTCTAATAAACACTTGACTGGTAAATTATGGCATTTGACATTTAAATAAGTCACATTAACCACAAGTTTATCAAAAAATGTTTGCAGAGTGTATCTATGGATTACTTGGCTGAATAAAGGAAAGACTCTAGACAACAAAGTTCTGCACAAAATCAAACAGTTTATTTGTCAAAACCACTGAGTCAGAGGATGTATATAGGATGCTGTACAATCTCACTTTGACTTGACTAAATGCTGTCAAGGTTATTATATGACATGGCTAATTCTCCCAGAGTTCATTGTTACTCACATCATTGTTTAAGAAAGAAAAGGGGGAGGGGACAGAGTCTGTAGTACATTTACATCTTCACATTACTGATGATTCAGGCCAAAAACTCATTCAGGACAAACCTTAAGGAATTATTCAGCAAAATGTATTAGTCACAGAAAGAACTAGAAATACCAATAGTGAATGGTCCTTTTTAATGAAAAATCAGTTTCCCTTCAAATTTAATTTATGGTTTAATGGAGATTTTATACCTGTGTGGTAGCATAATCTACCTGTTGTTTGTTATTTATCTACTTCTAGAAGTTAGAATTATCTGTTCTTTTTATTAATGTAATGAAAAATATTACAGGGCTTTAAATTTAACTATATATATAATAACTAGTGCATTTCAAAACAATTGTTTTTAATGATTGCACGAGGTAATAAAAATAATAAAGTTCTTTTGTTAGCTAAATGTAATGTATCTATTACCTTAGTGAAGAGTTTTCAAGATAGTAGAATTAAAGTAAAACTAATTTTTAAGCATGATCATAATGTATGCTTTAGTTTCACAATTTTAGTTATATATCCAAGCACTGTGGTACAACTTATCTCTATGATAGACTTAATAATTAATGAATTTGTTTTAAGTATACTTATAATAACTAGTTGCTTCCATACTTGAGTGAGGAAGCACATTGTGCTAAAATAATAATAAGCAGGCAAACAATGATTTATAAGCATAATTAAGTGATTTATTTATGGTGGATCATGCTACATATTCTGTCGAAACATGTAGTATGTTTCACCATAAATAAATCACTTCATTATGCTTATAAATCATTGTTTGCCTGCTTATTATTAGTTGCTTCCATAGTTCTCTTTTTTTTGTAAAGAAAATTACTTTTTTTTTCCTCCGATAAATTTGATATGATCAGTTGATCAGTAATAATGGTTCATGAAAATATTGTGTCTGAAACTGCAAATACACCTATTAAAACATGAAAATATGAATGAAAGAACTTAAAATCTTGTGTCCTGAGAACAAAAATCAAGTTTTACTTCTTAGCAATACAAACAGCTAGTACAACTAGAGTTAAACAAAAAAAAAAAGAATTTATTGAAATTTGACAACCACAGAAATCCAAATTGAAACTTTCAAACAATTGAAATACAAAGTTTATAATTTATCAAAACACAGTAAACATATATGTGTCTGTCCAGGACTTGATACTAACGTCAGTGAACAATGCAACATAAATATATCAAGATTGATAATTATTTCAATAAATAAAGGAATCGGGAAAAGAACCATATGAAGAAAAAACCTAATTCCAAAATAACAATATTCCATATTTAAACTACAAAATCATTAACAACATGAAGTAATAATCAGTAATAACACTCATCAGCTATATCTCGTGAACTAACTTGTTGAAGCTCATGGCAGGGTTTTTTATTCAGTCATTAAACCATGAGATTTCATCTCGTGACCATAAATTTTCATAATGTTTTGCAACATTAACAATATCTATAAGTCACCACTAGGGGAACTGGTTTCAATCTCATAATACATATATACTTACTCAAAATGAGTGTCGTTAGCTAGAAGGTGAGATAGAGCTTTAATGTAACTCAAAATTTAAATGATAGAAGGAATAATAAATGAATGGTAAACAAAACTGTAATAACATTAGAAGAGTATTTGTTACCTCACAAGCATAATAATTCTGTTGTGTTACATATATATATTTATGGGTTGTGTTTTTGAAACATATATTACATTTATTCTTTTAGGAGGTATCATTGCACTTGGGGTGTTCGGTGGATTTGTCTTCCTTGCAGCTGTCATCACCATTATTGTCATAATTGTCCGAAGGTGAGTTTTGAATATTTCTGTTTCCTCATCTTATTATGCAGCTAATTGTCCTTTGTTTTTCAGGTTACTTAGTAACTGAAGTTTTTTCCATAGTACATTAGTTTATTTTTTTGTGGAAGAATTATCAAAAATATATTCAAGTTGAACAGTTTATTAAATATGAATAAGTTTTCATTCAGTCAAGTTAGAGGTTTATATAGTAATAATGAAAGAAAATGGTCTGTTTCTTTTAAAACTATAAGTGTGTAAAATAGAGTTGTTTATGTGTAACAGTAACTGTGCTTGCACTTAACATCATATAAAATAATATTTTTGTTTCCCAAAGCTCTTCCTCCGTGGATAAAATTCGAAAACAACAGTTTTGGAATTCAGCGTCTCCACACCCCTCACAGAATGTTGGGTATCTAAGTTTTTATCAGTAGTAACTCAGGTAAACATATTCTTGCTTTCTTTGTTTTCACTTGCCTCAAAGAACTTTTCTCTTTGAATAATGTAACTGCAAGTTCTATGGCTTCACACAGAAATTATAAGTTTATATCTATTTTATCTTGTTATAACTGTATTTTTGCTGTCTTTCATTTCAAGTGTTAAGTAAGCGTACCTGGTAAATACTTACTTAATTTCTTAATTACTAATTAAGTAATTACTCCTTTTAGGTTGTAATATTGTAATTCTTAGAAGATGCCAAGATACAATTTTTATTGTTAAAAAGTCTTATTTTTCACTCTTTTTTTTTTTTACTTGAGAATTGACATTTGTTTCTAAGACTATCATTACAAATCTGATAAGAATATAATAACTATCATTGTTGTTTTTTACAAATGCACCATAGGTCTAAAAACATAATTCCAAATGGCATAAAAAACATGTAATGTATGAAGAAATTTATATTTTACTGCAACAATCTAAAGTGGGAGTCCAAAGCCAATATACTGCAGCTATTATAGCAAAATTGTTACTTTGACAATTAAACAGCATATTTACAACAACTCATTTTGGATAAATGTATAAGAGTATGAATATATTTTTTGCCACAGATACAAATTACTAAATTTATACAATATTTCTTTATTTGAATTGAGCAAAATGTGTTTGTAAAAATATGTCACCAACATAAACTTAAAACAGCTTGCAGTAAACCAATAATACAAAAATCTTCTGTGCTATTAAATTACTGCAAACATTTTTTGAGTTAAAATAATTTTGGTTTCTAAGGTAACAGAGTTGAAATTGTGTTCAGTTTTGAAAGTGATATATGAAAAAATCTGGAACCATAGACACTTTAACGAATTTTACGTAATGTGATCCACATGCTGTTCTTGTAACTTGAAACAAGCTAGAAGAGGATATTTCCATTCTCTTTGAACACTGCAAAGCATATTTGTCATTGTCAAAGGTCCAACACTTGTCGCAAATTTATTTTTTCAGATATTTGGTGTCCCTGAACTTCTCTTTTTACGCACATGCCTTGAGCAGTCCTCAGAAAAAGAAATCTATGGGAGTCAAGTCTGGAGATCTTGGGGACCATGCCTGTCAATCCAATGTTCTAGGAAGGTGTCATTCATCTAAGTTTGGATTTCTGAGCTGCAAGTCACTTATGGTTCCAGACTTTTCAGACACCCCTATATCAATTCATTATGCATTAAATACAGTTTACTGTTCTGAGTCCTTTCCTATGATGTTTTATTTTGGAAATGCATCTTTAATTTATATAAAAATTAAAACCTTAACTATTTTATTTAAATTCTTTTGTAAATACTGTATAAACCACAAGATGAATAAACTACATCTAGAAAAACAAAATGGTATTTTGTTCTTATTCATTATATTCTCTACAAGAATAGAGCATTATAAAACACAAATAAATCTCCCTGCTGCTGTTTTTCCTCACAGTTTTGACCAAATCTTAATCTTATTAGTGTTAAAAATAAATAAAAGCCATTGTGATGCCTATAGAATTATTTAAGTGTAATTATTAATAAATTGCTAATCTTTTTATTTGTAGATACTAATTACTAACTGATTTATATTCTACATTTTGGCTGCTAATCTGCTGCCATCTCCATGAAAGTCCTGAGGGGGACTGGGTTTGTAATGGTAATGGCCAGGATTTGGTGCTGTTGTGTTGTCCACTTGTCGGGGTATCTCCTGTTAAGACTTAAATCAACTACTTGAATACTTTCAAGAGGGGTATTCAGATTTACCTTATTTCTGTGCCAGGTTGCCTGAATATGTTATCAGTTAGAAGGACATAGAAGGTTTCTTTTATCATCCTCTTATCATATGTGGTTCATATCCCATTGTTTTTTTATTATTATATTTAATTGTACATTTTCCTCTGGCATGATGGGCTATTGCTGATAGATCTGTATTACAGCCTTACATATCTTTCATTTTCCAAATTCTAACTTTTGTTTCTCCAATAAATTGGAATCCACATTCATCAGGGATGCTGTAACTGACATTTTATTGTTCAATTGGGTCTTTAGGTGGTTTGGTGTGGGCTAACAGCGATTGTGTTGTGTTGTGGCCTCTGAATACTGTTCTCAATGTACACTGTTTACACATCCTCTGTATTGTTGTAGCATTGTTCTTTCATTGACGTACTATTTCAGAATGATCCTGTGAAAATATTTCAATGTTCAGTCCACATGAAAAGAGCAAATAACTTTATTTGATGATTTAGCATTTCCATAAATTGGAAAACTGTTTCACAAGTTAATACTATTACTTACATAATTATTAAACATTAAAAATCAACACGTTTTTTCTTTTAATTCCTCAAGTTTGTCCTTATCTAATTCAAAGTTCAAGGCTACCCACAGATTTTATATAGAAATGAACGTAATATAGTATCGGTGTAGCAGTAGTTTACATTATTTACTATGATAAAGTCCATAGTACAGTGTACAATATGGCCCACAAAATCTTTGTTGTGAAGCAGTGGGCTATCTTGGGTATCAAAACTAGAATTTTAGCATCATAAGCTCTCAGACTTACTGCTGAGCTAACAAGGGGCATCATTAATTATGAATCAACTTGCAAATTTGTATTGTAAATGTAATTTTTTATTAGATTCATTCATGTATTTTAATGAAGGAGTAGTTTTTGTAAATATTTTTATAACTTCTTCTAGGCCCTGCCCTTGGTGTGGATGTGTGGGCGCTCACCCCAAGAGATGCCAAAATCGACATTGCAATTAGCAATTCTTGTACGAGGACAGGGGGGTCGAAAGTTCGCACAGTCCAGAATTTTGCCTAATGCCGGCTCTGAAATATTCCATACAAAGAGTTTACGCTAACTATTAACTTTGTGGTGTCATGTTTTTTTCCCGCTGATTTGAGCAGTGTCGTTAAAGCATGCACAACTGGAAGTGGCCTACTTTCAAAGACAAATAACAGACGTTCACAACAATATCACATTCAATGACTTTCAGATGTTTTCGTATAAACGGATGGGCTAATTTGACAAGATATATACCACGGAATATCGAAAACAACCAATATACTTAAGATATATAATAAAATCAGAATGTACCAATAGATGGTGCATTCTTCAAAAAACGTTATTCATACACATCTTCATTGACAGTTAATAGATAAAACGTGCTAACCTTTGACCAATGACTTAACATCACGTGGTTGTAATTCAACCAATAACGAACTATGATGATAATTGTTTACCCTGGCAGTACATTACAAGACGATAATTCCATGAACTGCCATTTATACTTGCAGATGAACATTGAAACCTTTTATCTTAGCACAACCATAACATATTAAATCACACTGAACAGACGTAGGTCCTGTTTCTCAATGCAGTGTGACTGGGCAAGGACCATGCCGTTTTATACTGTACTGAATGGGCAAATGCCTTACTGTAAAACTAAATGAACTTGCGCAGGGTCCCCAAAAGTATTCTATTGTAAGAGTAAATAAAACCAAAATTAATAGTAACAAATATTTTTATTTATTTCGTTTGAAGTTTATATGTCATGCTGTGTGATAGCCTACAGAATGCATAATTGTTCTCGTGATTCATGGCATGCTCACGTTTTATTGACATCACGACAATACAAATTGTAACGTTAAGCGTCCCTTATGTGATGTCATTTTAGTGTTTACTGACTGACTGACAGACAGACAACCCCAATGGCGTATTTTCCGTGTTACCGCGTTTACGGGCGATAAACCAGCCTTGGGAGAATAGAAAAAAATAGCATTTTAAAATATAAAAACTATCACAAGTATATAATTACTGCAGTTTTGAAAAAGCAGGGACACAAGATCTGATTTACACGAGATATAGCCATCGTTGACCGCAGTGACTGTGTGAGTACTGATTATATGTGTCGTCTATAGTGATTGGTGCAGACTTTTTCAGTCTATCAGCGTGCTTCAAACACTTTGGAAGTATGTTGCTCATGGTTGTGTTGTCACAATACACAACTGTATAGTGGTGCGAGTGGTTAAAACAGGTGGTACCTCTAGGCGGCCTTTGGCCCTCTTTCGGGGAAATCATATTCTGGCGAGGATAAATCCTTCATGTATTAATTTATGCTAAGGCAACTAAATACACTTCAGATGGTTATGTGGTTGTTCAACCTACATACTCCTAACCAGTTTGATAGAGTGTGATAACGTGCTGACACTGAAGGATCCAATTCACAGTATGACAACTAATTATGAAAAAGGGATTTAGATACGTAAAATTGTGACGTAAAAATAAACATAAATTAAGTAATGACTACAGAATATCCAGTTTATTGTTTAAACTTGTTAATCATCGAGTTCTCGTCACAACTTGTACAGTTTTACGGGTATATCCATATACAAATATCTAAGAAATCAGTACCATATGAACCCTCCCTTCTAAGAACAAAGATAATCTTTATGATGCCCTTATAAGAATAAGTTTTGCAAATTGTATGTTAATTATTTTCATTAATCTTTTATTGCTCCTCTATTTTGAAGTTATTAACATTCCACCCAACAAGGGCTCGGCATGGCCAGGTGGATAAAACGCTCGACTCACAATCTGAGGGTCGCGGGTTCGAATCCCCGTCCCACCAAACATGCTCGCTCTTTCAGGCGTGGGGGCGTTATAATGTGACGGTCAATCCCACTATTCGTTGGTAAAAGAGTAGCCCAAGAGTTGGCGGTGGGTGGTGATGACTAGCTGCCTTCCCTCTAGTCTTACACTGCTAAATTAGGGACGGCGAGCGCAGATAGCCCTCGTGTAGCTTTGCGCGAAATTCAGAAACAAAAACAATCCTTCAATCTCTTGTTATGTAAAAGTTGTTTACCTGTGTACTTTTAGTATTCAGGTTTACTAATGTTCAATAGTTATATAGTAAATATTACAATAACAGGAGGATAAAGAAAAATGTTTGCGATTGAGGGAATAAAATGATCTCGAACAACAAGAGAGCTCAAACGCTCCTGTACAACAAAGAAATAAGACTGTTATTTACACAAAACCTGTATCACTAGAACAGTTTGGTTGCTGAAACACAGATTTTTTTTCACAAAGTGAAGAACAGGTTGTATCCATTGTACACTGTTAAGTCAAATCAAAGCTTTAGTGCAGTATTCCACAATCCTAAATTACTTGAATATGTAATCATTCCTTATTTTACATATTTAAGGAACGATAAGCTTTCAGCTCAAACTAACTTATACAAACAACTGTAACACCCTTCCTTTTGGCTATAACTCTTACCTAGGGAAGAGTAATGATACATAAGCATGACCAAACAAGTATTGGCACTGTTATATGTAACCTTGACTGGGCGCAGTTGAGTAACTCTGCTCAGATTGTGAATTCGAGGGTTCGTATCCCATTGCTACATAAGTGGTTGCAGTTGCATTATACAAGTGAAGGCAAAATTCAGTTATTCGATCACACAAGAGTTGGCAGTGAGTGTTCTTGATTAGCTACCTTCCTTTTACTCTGTTAGTTTTAATTTCGGGATGGCTATGGGCAAATAGCTTTTATATAAGCTATATACAAATATTATAAGATAATTTGAGTATGAAACTGGAGGCATGGATAGATGCCAGTTGAAAGATATTCACATTTTGTATGCAAGGGCATTTATTAACTGCAGAACACCAAGATGCAAGTTTTGAAATTTTTACCTCATTAAAGATATATTATTTTCTAGTTACAAAAGGGTGTAATATACACGTTTCGATTATTAAATGCCGAATATTCCTCAGTAAAGGATGCCACAGTTTTATAAAGTTTTCCAAAACTTGACAAGGGCAGTTTCATCGATGACACTACCAAAATAGTTCTTCATAAGTAATTTACATGTTTTTGACATTGGGGATTCTACTTCTAAGTTAGTGATTTTGGATTTTAAATGTAGTTGATTTTATTGTCAAGAAGACTTATTTATTTAAAAATTTAAGCCACAAATTAATCATGATACAAGATTGGTGTTATGATAGTTGGTGTTTGTTTATTTCCCTCTAGTTAACTTGATATTTTTTCAATTCAATTTTATCTTCTTTACTACCCCCAGTAATTATAATGCTAAAACTCGGGTGGTGGGCACTGCATGAATAGCCCATTGTGGAGCTTTGCACTTAACAACAACAACAGAATCTTTCATTTTTAATTTGTTTTATATATTTACCACATCTCTATGTACATCTAGTGGTTAATTTACACTCACAATTTGAGGTTCATGGGTTCTAATTCCGTCACCGAACATCCTCACCATTTCAGCCATGATAGCATTATAATATGATAGCAATCTCGCTTTTCGCTAGTAAAAAGAGTAGGTAATGTGTGGTGT